GGAGTGAACAAAAGGACATGTACGGTTTACGTCAATGAGACAGCAATCCAACCAAAGACATTGCAACCAAACTAAATATAGAAGAAAAACTGTCCTAAAATCGGACGGTTTTTTATGTAATATGTTGAACTGTAAATCATTTCGAGACTAAAATGTTGTTACGATTATCAACAGGAATGATCAATTGCAAAGACAAGCCACTAATTTTTAAAAAGGCAAAATAGATAAAGATGTTACAAAAGATAACCTATAATGAGGTTTCTTACATAGGACACGCACATAAACATATATGGGACGAAATTAAACTAGTTTCGAGTCTTAATGCTGCTTGTTTATGTTTATTAGTGGGCTAACAAAAACTACTGGTATTCAAGAACATAGCATACAAATCATTACAGGAATGACACAAAACTATATTATAATGTAGTATATAGAACAACAAGCTACCTGTAAATCCCTCCTCTATCAGGAGAACCTTGAATTTTCCAGTAGTTGTTTTTATATCTATGTACCACAGTAACACTATAGTACACTATTTAACAAGTCTGTTTCCTTCCACCTCAATACCATTATTAATTTTGGTAAATTATTTTAAAAATCAGATTTAGTTTTATTGTAGTAAGAACACCAGGACGGGTTCAAACAGAATGATTTTGAAAGTAGAGAAAACTGTGCACCTTACAATCAGCATGACTGTAACAGATGACAATAAGAATACTAAAAATCCAGGCTAAAAATAAGGTATTGGTACTTTAATTCTGTCACGGACCCGCGATGTCGCGGATGTGTTCTAGTAAAAACTATGAAAAGTCATATATGACCTACCTGTTATTGTTTATCGACAATTGTATGAAATAAAAGGACACAATTCATACTTTTTTCTACAAATGTAGTTATATTCATCGTATGGATTTTTTAGTACATTGAAACATAAATTCTTTTTTTTCTATAGAACGCTAAATTTTACACTTTTGATTCTTCGAAAACATAAGTAATTTTTGTATTGTATGTTCATTTAGTTTCAGAATTTACTACATGCACACTACATACATGACATACACACACATGTATTATACAACGTTTACTAAACCTGGAACATTTTGGACATCATCAGAATAAAATAGTTAAGATTTCGTTACTTAGTTACGTTAACTGTCATTTACCCGAAAAAGGCAATACACGAATGCCGCTACGGAGTGAACAAAAGGACATGTACGGTTTACGTCAATGAGACAGCAATCCAACCAAAGACATTGCAACCAAACTAAATATAGAAGAAAAACTGTCCTAAAATCGGACGGTTTTTTATGTAATATGTTGAACTGTAAATCATTTCGAGACTAAAATGTTGTTACGATTATCAACAGGAATGATCAATTGCAAAGACAAGCCACTAATTTTTAAAAAGGCAAAATAGATAAAGATGTTACAAAAGATAACCTATAATGAGGTTTCTTACATAGGACACGCACATAAACATATATGGGACGAAATTAAACTAGTTTCGAGTCTTAATGCTGCTTGTTTATGTTTATTAGTGGGCTAACAAAAACTACTGGTATTCAAGAACATAGCATACAAATCATTACAGGAATGACACAAAACTATATTATAATGTAGTATATAGAACAACAAGCTACCTGTAAATCCCTCCTCTATCAGGAGAACCTTGAATTTTCCAGTAGTTGTTTTTATATCTATGTACCACAGTAACACTATAGTACACTATTTAACAAGTCTGTTTCCTTCCACCTCAATACCATTATTAATTTTGGTAAATTATTTTAAAAATCAGATTTAGTTTTATTGTAGTAAGAACACCAGGACGGGTTCAAACAGAATGATTTTGAAAGTAGAGAAAACTGTGCACCTTACAATCAGCATGACTGTAACAGATGACAATAAGAATACTAAAAATCCAGGCTAAAAATAAGGTATTGGTACTTTAATTCTGTCACGGACCCGCGATGTCGCGGATGTGTTCTAGTAAAAACTATGAAAAGTCATATATGACCTACCTGTTATTGTTTATCGACAATTGTATGAAATAAAAGGACACAATTCATACTTTTTTCTACAAATGTAGTTATATTCATCGTATGGATTTTTTAGTACATTGAAACATAAATTCTTTTTTTTTCTATAGAACGCTAAATTTTACACTTTTGATTCTTCGAAAACATAAGTAATTTTTGTATTGTATGTTCATTTAGTTTCAGAATTTACTACATGCACACTACATACATGACATACACACACATGTATTATACAACGTTTACTAAACCTGGAACATTTTGGACATCATCAGAATAAAATAGTTAAGATTTCGTTACTTAGTTACGTTAACTGTCATTTACCCGAAAAAGGCAATACACGAATGCCGCTACGGAGTGAACAAAAGGACATGTACGGTTTACGTCAATGAGACAGCAATCCAACCAAAGACATTGCAACCAAACTAAATATAGAAGAAAAACTGTCCTAAAATCGGACGGTTTTTTATGTAATATGTTGAACTGTAAATCATTTCGAGACTAAAATGTTGTTACGATTATCAACAGGAATGATCAATTGCAAAGACAAGCCACTAATTTTTAAAAAGGCAAAATAGATAAAGATGTTACAAAAGATAACCTATAATGAGGTTTCTTACATAGGACACGCACATAAACATATATGGGACGAAATTAAACTAGTTTCGAGTCTTAATGCTGCTTGTTTATGTTTATTAGTGGGCTAACAAAAACTACTGGTATTCAAGAACATAGCATACAAATCATTACAGGAATGACACAAAACTATATTATAATGTAGTATATAGAACAACAAGCTACCTGTAAATCCCTCCTCTATCAGGAGAACCTTGAATTTTCCAGTAGTTGTTTTTATATCTATGTACCACAGTAACACTATAGTACACTATTTAACAAGTCTGTTTCCTTCCACCTCAATACCATTATTAATTTTGGTAAATTATTTTAAAAATCAGATTTAGTTTTATTGTAGTAAGAACACCAGGACGGGTTCAAACAGAATGATTTTGAAAGTAGAGAAAACTGTGCACCTTACAATCAGCATGACTGTAACAGATGACAATAAGAATACTAAAAATCCAGGCTAAAAATAAGGTATTGGTACTTTAATTCTGTCACGGACCCGCGATGTCGCGGATGTGTTCTAGTAAAAACTATGAAAAGTCATATATGACCTACCTGTTATTGTTTATCGACAATTGTATGAAATAAAAGGACACAATTCATACTTTTTTCTACAAATGTAGTTATATTCATCGTATGGATTTTTTAGTACATTGAAACATAAATTCTTTTTTTTCTATAGAACGCTAAATTTTACACTTTTGATTCTTCGAAAACATAAGTAATTTTTGTATTGTATGTTCATTTAGTTTCAGAATTTACTACATGCACACTACATACATGACATACACACACATGTATTATACAACGTTTACTAAACCTGGAACATTTTGGACATCATCAGAATAAAATAGTTAAGATTTCGTTACTTAGTTACGTTAACTGTCATTTACCCGAAAAAGGCAATACACGAATGCCGCTACGGAGTGAACAAAAGGACATGTACGGTTTACGTCAATGAGACAGCAATCCAACCAAAGACATTGCAACCAAACTAAATATAGAAGAAAAACTGTCCTAAAATCGGACGGTTTTTTATGTAATATGTTGAACTGTAAATCATTTCGAGACTAAAATGTTGTTACGATTATCAACAGGAATGATCAATTGCAAAGACAAGCCACTAATTTTTAAAAAGGCAAAATAGATAAAGATGTTACAAAAGATAACCTATAATGAGGTTTCTTACATAGGACACGCACATAAACATATATGGGACGAAATTAAACTAGTTTCGAGTCTTAATGCTGCTTGTTTATGTTTATTAGTGGGCTAACAAAAACTACTGGTATTCAAGAACATAGCATACAAATCATTACAGGAATGACACAAAACTATATTATAATGTAGTATATAGAACAACTCGCCTGATCCACTGCAGAAACAAAGTTATGGATCAATAGGTATCGAGAATAGAGTGCATGTCATTAGTTGAATCTGCAAGGTAATAAAATATAGCTTAACACTCGGGAACCTTACGTTTAAACCTTCAATATTTTCTCCTTCATGAAAACGTCCTTTGTTAGACAATGAATATAGCAACCAGGGGAGAATTGTTTTTTAAATCGTTTAGCTGACGTTTCTTTTTTACTCATCTTTGCTAACACATCTGTTAAAATATCCAAAAAGTTCATTCTCTCGACTTGTTTTCGGTTTTTAACCAAACATTTGTATAATTCCTGTAACATCCATGATCCATCCCTCATGTTTCGCACAGCAAGATTTATTGCAAAAGACATCTATCTCAGAGATACACGAAAATTAAGTTTTGTAGAATGTTATTCTAGCTAGCCATATTTTATATTGAATTATTTCGATATGACTTTCGTGTTGCTAAGTCTTTAGTTTTCTATGTTGTGTTTTGTGTACTGTTGTTTATCTTTTTGTCTTTTTCTTTTTTAGCCATGGCTTTGTCAGTTTATTTTCGACTTATGAGTTTGAATGTCCCTTTGGTATCGTTCGCCTCTCTTTTGGAATACCAATTACAGCAAGATTTTAAAAATGTCTGTACGTCATTTATTTCATTTCATTTTATAATTAATTTATGTTTTCCCATCGAATAACTTTAGGCTTCACAATGGAAAAAGATAAACGTTATCATTTCTATATATGAAGAAGAAAGAAGTAAAATAACAAAAATACCGAACTCCAAGTGTTCACAAACTTCCTGTCTTAACATTGGAAACTTTGATAAGGATGAGGAGATGTTGCATGTTATCTCCCTAATGCATAGTTCTGATTCCTTGTACAGAATTGGCTTTCAATGTTTTTATTCGGTTTTGGACTTTCAAATAGTTTGGCCTAGAGCATCTCTGAAGAGACATTTATTGTCTGTTATACTGTTTATCGATGTTTCTCCTTCAACTTACCAGATACTGACGCAAACATGATTAAAGTGTCCTCTGGACAAGGAGCTAGTGTTACCATAGGAACTTCTGTTTATAAAAATAGCATTGTTAAAATTATATGTGTTCGAAACGCTTTTTTTTTACATTTACCTTCATCAGAACACTCAAACATAAACATTTGAAGTATATATAAATATATAAATTGAGTGTCGCAAATGCAGTTCATATTTTAATAAATTTATGTTCAGTTTCCGTCGAAGGGAATGTTTTATTCAAATACAGATAGTGTTTTTTGTATCTCTGCTGCCGATTCCACAAAAGATTCCAAAGAAAATGGTGGGTTAAACCTGGTTTTATGGCTAGCTAAACCTCCCTCTTGTATGACAGTATAAGATTGAACAATACCAAGTGTTATTTAAAAGGAAGACAAGATGTTTGATTAAGTAAAAACCATACAACATCTTATATTTGATATCTACCTATCAAAACAAACATGTTTGATTCCCTAATTTTTTTGTTTGCTACCTTGATTTGTATCCTCTCAATCGATTTATGAGATAAACACAGCTAATAACAGCTGTTGCGTAAATTTTCTCATTAAAAATGGATAGTTCATTTGTCATTCGTATCTTTCCGGAGCACCTGAGATTACCCCCGGTTGTTGGTAGGGTTCGTGTTGCTCAGTCTTTATTTTTCTATGTTGTGTTTTGTAGTCTGTTGTTTGTTGTTTTTCGTGTTTTGCCACGCATTGTTAGTTCGTTTTCGAATATGTTTTGACTATCCCATTAGTACTTTCCGTCTCCCTTTTATAAGTTGTTATGATATTATTTATTTTAAGGTTTGAAAAATCACTTAGCACTGGCGAGAGGTGTTGATTTTTGTTGCTTTACAACAAATAATTAGCAGTTAAAACCTGAAGTATTCGCTGTTCAATATAGAATTAATAGCGTTTGAAACACACAGTATTGACTATAACACATTGTTATTAATTTCAAGAAGTAATTCACCTTCAGCTGAAGCCGTCAACTTATTACCATGCGTATCTTGAATAAGCTTCAAAGATTCTAAAGGACGTAGAGTACAGCCTTTGTCCATTTTCAAAACTCCTGCTATCCTGCAAGCCTGTAGTATTAAAACAATCATCAGCATTCATTATATTTGGTACTATTTTTAACATAACTCAAACACATGAAATGATTTATCTTTATTTACTGGTGAACCATTATCACTGTGTCTAAACTACCCCGGCAAACAATGTTTGGACTCGATAGTATCTAATATCCGGCACGGTGACGGACAATCAACACACAAAGAAAAGGTAGAATTTCTGTTTATTTATTTGGTTTTTTTTATGACATTGAAGAATAAACATACACATATAACTATTTTCGATTGTGTGATGTAATATTTTCTACAACCGATCTAGATTAATGGAGAAATAAGTAAAAAGGCACATGAAAATGGTGAATTGAGTGAACCTTGCTACGAATTTGTTTAATATCTTTTTAAATTGTGCACATTGTACGGAAAGAAAGTACGGAAAGAAAGATATTAACACAGAGATTGCATGGCTAGTCACTATGAGCACCTCAATATTTGCATTTCTGTGCATGGAACGAAAGAAATGGGTCATGTCAAAATGGAAGGACCCTGTTTCGTCAATGTTGTTTATTACTTAAGGACTCGGTTTTGTCTCAGTATAGGACCCGGTTTTGTTTTGTTTTGAAACCACAAATTTATGAAAAGCTACATTTACACGGATCTGAACATTGCCCATCGGAAGAAATTAAATATGTGAGTCAAAAAGATGTTATAAAGATTTTATTGCAATACAAACATGTCGTGTTAAAATATATTTCAAACGGGAACTTTTCGAAATAGAGAGTTGACATTTTTGAATGCTATACGTATACCTTATTGAACTTATCTTCGAACTAAATTTAAATGGAAATAAATACTTTTATAGTATGTACTTACATTAATTCCTTATGATATAAAAAAGAAGATGTGATGTGATTGCTAATGAGACAGCTCTTCACATTAGACCAAATGACATAGAAATTAACAATTATAGGTCACCGTACGGCCTTCAACAATGAGCAAAGCCCATACCGCATAGTCAGCTATAAAAGGCCCCGAATTGACATTTGTAAAACAATTCAAACGAGGAAACTAACGGTTTAAATTATGTACAAAAAAAATGAAAGAAAAACAAATATGTAACACAGCAACAAACGACAACCACTGAATTACTGGCTCCTGACTTAGGACAGGTACATATATACGGAATATGGCGGGGTTAAACATGTTAGCGGGATCCCAACCTCCCCCTTACCTGGGAAATTGGTGTAACAGTACAACATAAGAACGATCGAACTATAAAAATCAGTTGAAAAAGGCTTAACTCATCAGATGGATACAAATAGAAATACATCTCACAAATGTTTGTTTATTTTCTATACTACTGTAATGATGTAAAAATAAGAAGATGTGTAATGATTGTGTTACCATATCAATTTATCAAAAGAGTAAGGATAGTATGCTTTAGGAATCTGATTACAGTAGTTGTCGTCCTTTTATGTAGTTCATACGTGTTTCTCGTTTTTATATAGATTAGACCGTTGGTTTTTCCGTTTGAATGGTTTTACACTAGTAATTTTTTGGGGCCCTTTATAGATTGCTGTTCGGTGTGAGCCAATGCTCCGTGTTGAAGGCCGTACCTTGACCTATAATGGTTTACTTTTATAAATTGTAACTTGGATGGAGAGTTGTCTCATTGGCACTCATACCACATCTTCCTATATCTATTTACTATACTATACGCTATGTTTACAATATATTTACTCATTCGTTTATCCATTTACGGACAGTGAGATAAAAAGCTCCGTTTTGAAGGCCGTACTTTGACATTTTTATTTATTTCCATTTAAATTTAGTTCGAAGATAATTTCAATAAGGTATACGTATATAGCATTCAATGGTTTACTTTTACAAATTGTGACTTGGATGGAGAGTTGTCTCATTGGAACTCATACCACATCTTCTTATATCTATTAGAACGTTTTGATTATCTCAAATCAAAATGATTGCCTTTCGAACGTGTATTTTATGTCAGCTTCAAAATACACAAGTTCTAAACTTCACTATTAGAAACGAAATAATTATATCATGCCATGCTCTACGCTCATTTTAACATGGGTAGGTAGGCATTATATTTGTCAATATTTTATACCTTGCTAACGCTTGGTTAAAATTTTTAACAAATATAATGCCTACCTAAGTATGTTAAAATGAGCATTGAGCATGGCATGAAAGAGTTATTTCTTTTTATAAAATAAAGTTGGTTTGCAACATTATAACGTCCAATATCTTCGTCTTCGTCTTTGTCTTCGTAGAACAACCTAAGTGGCAATTTAGCCCGTGAAAAATGACAATTAGACAGCTTTCCATCAGAGACCAAATGACGTAAAAGTTAACAAATATAGAACTCCGTATGGCATCCAACAATGAGAAACACCCATACGGCATAGCAAGCTAAAAAAAAGACCCCGAAATGAAAACTGTGAAAAAAAACTAATGTGAAAACTAACGACCTGATTTATGTACAAAATAAAAAACGAAAAACAAATACATGTATGATAAACAGCAATAAAAGACAACCACCGATTTACAGGCTCCTGGATTTGGTACTGGCACATGCAGAATTGCGGGGTTGAACGTGTAAGCGCCCCCTCCCCCCCAAAAAAAACACAAACAAGAAAAAAACTGGTATAACAGCACAACATATGAAAAAAAAATTCAGTTAGTTGAAAAAGGCTTAACTCATTTGATTACAGAGCCCCTATAGTAAATATGCGATTGGCGGCTGTCTCTGTTTTTTCGTCTTTTATTAAATTTTATGATGGTATACGATATAGTTACATTATATCAGTGGCGGATCCAGGGGGTAGAGGGAGTACGCCGACCCCCCCCCCCCCCCCCCCCCCCCCCCTTTTTGGTGGCTAGAAATAATTATTTTATCATGTTTTTTAAGATTTATATATGATTTTTTTTTACCATAAAATCGTTAAAAAAAAGTTCCCCTTGCTACGCTCGGCGGTATAAAATCCGTTTATGAATACGCCCCTTTCAAAAATCATGGCCTCGGTCCGCCGTTGCATATTGACAATTTTAAACTTGCCCAACGTGCTTAAATTGTAGAACATTTGTCATTATACAATGAAGAGATAAACCTATATATAATAGTTGTACTATATAGGGCAGTTGTTAAGAAATCGATACTAGTGCATTAAGGAATTTGTTAATGTTAAAAAAAAAAAAGAAGAAAAAAAATAGAGATAAAACAACGTTTATTTATAAAATTACTAATCAAATAATCATCATTGCAATTTCCGGATGACCTAAGACTATTATACTAACTTATACTTAGTATTATGTTAACAAGGAGGGTTAAACAGATTTGTAACGCACTATAATTGTGATCCTTTGCGCCGCATGGAAATTTCTTTTCTTGGGCGATTCTGCATGCAAATACATTTTTCTTATTCTCTTGCTTTATAATGAACGTTTAGTTTCAGAATATTTATTTTCAAACGATCATACTGTCTCTCCCTTTAAGTAGAGAACATTAAGAAAACCACCTTGTTGTCCCAGAAAATCACATATCAAATGTGCGTCCTTAAGTTTTCAAGGCCGTACACTATTTAAGTTTGAACACTTAAATTTACATAGTTGATATAAAAAAAATCTAATTGCGTTACAAAACCTTCATTTCTTTTTAATTTTTCCTTTTTTATATACAAAACAAAATTGAAATTTGCTTTGTTCTAATATAGCAAGAATTCAAGTGTTTACGGATTCAAAAAAGTTATAAGTTATCCTCTGAAAGAAAATGTTTTTCAACGATCCCTCAAACTGCTGTTGAACGCCATATTTTAATTTTCGTCATGCGATTATGCATTTTTTTCTATGACAAAACCGGGTCTGCTTTGTGAAATTTAAGGACAAAACCGGGTCGTACACATTGACAAAACCGGGTGCTTCAATTTTGACATGACCGACTTCTTTTATTCCAAGCACAGACATGCAAATATTGAGGTGTTCATAGTGACAAGTCTTAAAATCACCGAGTTAATATCTTTCTTTCCGTACCTTTCTTTCCGTACAATGTGCTCAATTTAAAGAGAAATTAAAAAATTCGAGGCAGGGTTCACTCAATTCACCATTTTGATGTGCCTTTTTACTTATTTCTCCATAAATCTAGAACGGTGGTAGAAAATATTACATCACACTATCGAAAATAGTTATATGTGTATGTATATTCTTCAATATCATTAAAACAACATATAAATATAAAACAGAATTTCTACCTTTCTCTGTCTGTTGATTGTCCGTCACCGTACCGGACATTAGATACTATTCAGTCCAAACATTTTTCGCCGGGGTAGTTTAGACACAGTGATTATGTACATTGATAAATTCATAAGCGTGAGTTTCATAACGGCATGTATCTGGACAACTAGTATTAAGTGCTCTCGATTTATTATTGTAATACAGATGCAATGTGAACATTTTATCTAATTCATGAATATATATTAAAATACCGAAAAAAAGGAAGTACAATTATAAATAATAATAAAAGAAAAAATATCCCGTATTTTGTGTTATACTTTTACAGGTAATAATAAATTAAAAATAAAAGCATAAAAGTTCACTAAGTGAAAATTGAATTCATTTTCCACAAGAGAAATGCAAATGAACCCCAAAAAATGAAAAGCCTATCCAATCGAAAAGTACCTGACGAAAGACTCAAAGTTTATATTTCTAACATGATATCAATTAAACTCATCATAGATACCAGGCTTAAAAATATGAACAGCAGACGCGCGTTTTGCCTACAAAAGACAATCAGTGACGCTCGATTAAAAAAATCGAAAAAAGTTAAAAGGGCCAAATAAAGTACGAAGTTGAAGAGCACTGGTGACCCAATATTCCGATTGGTTTTGCCAAATACAGCTAATGAAATCTATTCCTGGGGTTGAAAATCCTTAGTTTTTCGAAAAATTCAAAGTTTATTAAACAGTTCATTTATAATTATGAACATATAAATGATAATTCATGCCAACACAGAAATGCTGACCACTGAGCTGGTGATATCTGTTCCATTCTTATTTAAAACCAATGGTATAGCAATTTTCTCGATATTTTTTACATGGGATTGTGATTCAATGACTCTTGATTATTTTTGTTGCAGAAACGCTATCTCATTGACATAAACCGTGCCGCCATTTGTGTTCACACAACACATTTAAGTAAATTGCAACTTAGCGACCGGATTCTTCTTGAATGATACTTTCACAATATAGATCTTGTCAGCATGATACTTGAATGTTCAAGAAAATCCGATAGTTGGATTCTGCAATGTGACTTCAAGAATGTTCTGTGCAATAGATATTCTAGTCCTAGTTTTTCACGAAAAACGTTTTAGGATGAAAATAAATCGTATATTACTATAATGTATTTAACTCATACAAATAGTTCTCTCCAATTTGTTTAATGAGCCACAATTAGTTTTGTTCAAAAAACGAAATGAAACGTATTCTTTTCTCTCAATTATTTGAGTATTTGATGGTATTACATATGAACATCAATATTCTTTCAAAAGAAACTTTATTGTGTGATTATTTAAAATCTTATTTAAAAAACAATCTCATAAACATTTCAGCAATACACTTTTATATTATGAATTGTAATGTGTAAAGGTAGTAATGATGTACATCCCCTTTGAATGGCTGTGGCATAGTGTAATTGAGTTAAATCTTTATTGTCGACAGACAATGACACACACGATAAAGTTTAATAATTCGGTATTAGCGACAAAGTACCATGTTGCCAGATCCTTGCTTTTATGAACCTCATTCCAATTTCAATGACATGAATAATTTAAATACATACATATTTTACGAAAAATACAAACTGAAATTGTTTTCCTTGAAAGTAGTCATAATTCATATACTCCCGTTACCGACGTCTTCCAAGTCATTTTAGTTAACTCTTTAAAAAGTTAAAGACTCACTCTAACACCTGATACCATCACAATTAACACGTAAATATCTTCTTGAAATAATCAGATTACTAGACACAGAATAAACAATATATTTCTATGTTTTCATAAAAAAAAGTAAGCTGATGTCTAGAAACCAGTTTTCTTGGAATTAATATCAAAGATGTTCCATAACTGAACTTCCTCCAATAAGGTTATTATAGTTGATGTAAACACGTAAAATGCGACATAACAGTACTCTGTACATGACTTTTGTACAAAGGAGTAGGGGCAATTTGTTCCAAATACTTGTGCAAATTTAAGAGTTACCATGCGTGATCCTGAATTTTTCCTACATGTAACAATACTTAATTAATGTAAAAATGTTTAAAAAAAAAAAAAAACTTTTTTCCCATTTGACGAGTTACCATGCCAAAACATTTTGTCAAAAAATCTTTGTTTTTCCTTGTTTTACACTAAATTTTACGTATATAAAGGATTGTGAGCGCCCAATAAACAAATTTACACCTGTTGAGAATAAAACAATTCTAAAATTATTTCGTTGTTTTTTTAATGCGCACTGTTTGCACAAAAGAAATATAGACGACGCACTGCACAATGTCAGCTATTTTCATGAAACAGGCGCAAATTATGACTTCATAACAACTCGAACCTTATGTAATTCATGTATATAACTTGATCCGATGCATTTCCATAAACTACGAGAAATTTCAAGTAGGTCTGAGAAACTTGATTTTACTAGGCCAAAAATGGATCTTAATGAAGTCGTTTATTTAAACTAACTTCTAATATTATTGATTGATGTTTGCTTTACGCTGCATCAGCGCAAAAGGCTATATTACGAAGAAATTAACTTCAAATAAGAAACACATATCCGAATGTATATTTAAAAAGAGGTCATTTTATTTTTAAATCTGAGTGAAAATAATACCCCTTAGGTGGATTTGGCTATTTTTTATATAGCTTTCTGTGTGTTCAGGTACTTATACATGATTGACTATCAATCAAATTTTAAGTTTGGCTTTTTCTGATGAATATAAATCTACAATAGCGCTTCGGACGAAGTGCATTTATGTTACAGGTAATGTATATTCTAAAATTGTTTTTCTTTTTGTAGTTTAACAAGGTGTGTTATACGACAGAAAAAACTTTATAATATGCATTATCTGCTTATATACTGTCAAAAAATATTATTTCCTGCAAAGATTTGCAGCAAATTGTATTTCGATTTATCAACCTTTGAAGTGGAATAGTCTATTCTTATGCAATTGGGTATATTTGTTACAGTGGATTTGTAAAATCACTGCACTGAAAAGTGATTTTATAAAATTCCTTATTTGACTAGGGATTTTAAAAAATCACTGAAACAATTAAGATTATTTTTACTGATTCACGGATTTAATTCAGAGAATTTGTGAAATAATTAATATTTTTGTTTACATAGTTCATTGGAAAAAAGATAACATGCTACACCAACTAACATTCAACAAGTTTGTGTATCTTTGTCTCTTTTTATATATACAAGGTTAGCAGATTTCAAATAACTGAGGCAAAATTGAAATGTAATACATGTATATAGAAACGGAGGAAAATATGAGGAAGTTGTTGAGCATATTACTAAAGACCCACAAAAGGACAAAACAAGCTTATATTACTACCTTGCTAGAAACTGTCTTAACGTTTAGTCCTTTAGTCTATAATTGTTGAAAAGTATAAAAAAAAATTACCTATTTATAATCTCAACAATCATATTATAAGTATGAATTGGTTTCTTGCTTGCTTGCTTCAAACGTTATGACACTGAATCACTATTGGTACTGATTTTGTTTTTTTATGTATAGCTTAATTTTCAACACCTGCTTTTAGTCATGCTTAATTGACTTTTGTTTTCTACATTTGTATATCTAAGGTTTACTGATAAGGTGTTTATATCACATTTTACTATTTAGGTTATTTCCTTTGTCGTCGCATAAGCATTCGTGCTTCTGAGTTATTGCAAAATATGAGAATCCTATACCTGTGCAACGTTTCAATTATTTATAATATGAATGTATATGAACAATTTCTGATGATAGACCACTGATATTGGGAACGTTTTTGTGTTCGTATATGACTGTTTCTATATCAAAACTCAGTTCGATGTTATTCTGATTTTGTAAGTTTAAAACGCATCATCCTCAACCATATATACGCAGTTACATTACAGTGTTATTGAATTTGCTGCATGTGAGAAATATTTTCGTAATGAAAGTTATATGTTGAATATTTCGACACTGGACATTTTGGTTAGTAGATTGGAAGATTAGAAAGAATGAAAAATTAACTTACCACATAAAAATCAAACAACCAAAAAATATCAGTAGTATATTTTATAAAACTTAAAATCCAGATTGTAGTATTTACCTGAATGAAAAAGAATTTTGGTTTTCCACGCAGACCTTTACAATTATCATCACTAAAGATGTCAACTAAATCACTGGTCCTTATTTCACCACCATCCACACCCATTATTTCATGTTCTCTTTCAAGATAGGGACGATGGGTGTCTGTAATAGTTTGCTTCTCACCACCATGAGAGGCTACTACACAAACAAAACAGTCCGAATTTTCGTGAATACTTTCCTGAGCGACTGTAAGAAAACAAACATTGTTATCCAACTATACTGTAAAAAAGCGAAAAAGATTATTTAGATCCGAAGCCGAAGACCCGTGTTGCCAAGTTGGATGACATTCCTTTAATGAAGCTTTGTTTTTAGTATTTAAGGTAGATGAGGGGAAATGCTCTCTTAAAATTGTTTTAAAGCCAGTGAAAATATAGTTCCTATCATTTTACATTCTGATTAAATATAGATCCTTTGCCTACAAGGATCTAAAAACACTACGTTCTTCTTTCTGTTCTGCTAGTTACTACATCAGCCAATGCAATTGCAATTTCTGCCTCTAAATTTTTGAATGGTTGGATCATAACGACAAAATCACAGGATTACGAAAAGTGTTTAAAACAGAAAGTAAAACGGGGTGTTGTCAGATCCTTTTAAGCAAACCACAGGATCTAAAGGTATTTTCATGATTTAAAAAAACAGAGTTCTAAGGGAATGTGTCTCCGGGCTTTTCTGTTTTGTCACATTATGTACCAAATGAAATTATTTCATAAGAATTATAAAGGGTTAATTTAAAGACAAATTGACGACAGACTGAAAATTTTCATTAAGTCATAACTTGCATAGCATGTATAAGACCCATTCAGTAATAAAACAAACAAAATATTTGTCAGCCGTCTCCGTATGCTGCTAGATTTTAGTTCAATTTACAATCATGTTAGATCAAATATCTTTAAATGTGCCCGATGTGAGAATGACGACTTAGAGAGACTGTCATATATAAATTATTAATATGATAGTAGAGTCTGCAAGTGATTTGTTTACCAACTGACCTTTATCAGAATGTTTCGTCACTTTTTCTCCAGACAAAACAAGCTCAAGGCTTGTTAGTCTAGAAATTAATGTGCCTTACTTTCAGTTGCTATTTTACGCATATCGTCTGCTGTTTGATCTACGTATGAACAAGTCCTAAATCCTAAGTCTTCGAAGACTTTTTGCATATTTTGTTGATCAATTTCGTCTCCTTTTCTGTCCTTTGTGGTTTTAAAGTTTCTATTGTTTATCAGTAAAGCAATGCCTCTTTCTTTTTGGTCGAAATTATAAGAGCTGGCATCTAAAAAGTCCATAATCTCTAAAAGAATAGAAAATCATACATTGTATTAGTGTAAAAAGTAAAATAACAAAAATACCGAACTCCAAGGAAATTTCAAAACGAAAAGTCCCTTATCAAATGGCAAAATCAAAAGTTGAAACACTTCAAACGAATGGAAAACAACTGTCATATTCCTGACTTGGTACAGGCATTTCCTTATGTAGCAAATGGTGAATTAAACCTGGTTTTATAACTCGCTGTACCTCTCACTTGTATGACAGTCGCATAAAATTCCATTATATTGACAACAATGTGTGAACAAAACAAACAGACATAATAGGTAAAAATGTCAAAAATAGTGGTACAGCAATTAACATTGTGTTATAATCATAATCACTATAAAACAAACAAATATGTCAACAAAGAAAAACAAAATGGCATATAGACAAAGCACATAAGCAAAAATGAAAGACAAAAATACAAACAAATGACCATAACACAATAACACAATGGATAACCGAGCCATGCCAAAATTATATTACCAAAAATGGACTAAACAGTGAAGGTAATAATTTACAAAGACAAATAAAAGAAAAGAATAACACGTAATTACGATGATAAAAAAACGACAGTACATATAATCTATACTTCAAGTCCATCATGTATTATTTGTAAAGTTGATACAGAACCCATTTTCGACCTGTACTTAACCTGTTCTAAGCCTGTTTTCACTATCTGAATCATATTTGACCAAAGATCTGAACTGTACCCGAGCAATGCTTAATAATACTCAACCAGTTTATTGCTATTTTATCAATCTTTATTTTGTGACTTACTATTATCTAAAACTATACAATACTTCTATATGTTTTCTTATCAGTTTTAAACAAGATGAAATTAAGACTTGCATGAGTTATATTGATGATGAATACAAAAAATATGCACTATTACATTAAGATCTTAAAACTGAAATAAAATTGTACATGATGTTTTTACATAAATAAAACGAGCATATGTTATTGCCATTAAAACGATATACTGTGTAGTTTAAATATGATTAAGAATTGGCCGAGTTCAGTTCAGACGTTGTAAACAGGTTTCGAACAGATTAAGGTAACAGGTACGTGAATGGGCAATCTCATGGATTTTTTGGAAATTTTGCAAGCAATTTGAGCATGTGGAACTCCATATGAATATCGAAAAATTACATAAGTAGCTTTTATAATCTTTCAATCAGTTTAATTGAGGTCTGGAGCTGGCATGTCAGTAACTGCTAGTAGTCTGTTGTTATTTATGTATTATTGTCATTTTGTTTATTTTCTTTTGTTTCCTATTCTGACATCGGACTCGGACTTCTCTTAAACTGAGTTTTACTGTGCGTACTGTTGTACATTTGTTTCTTCTACATTGGCTAGAGGTATAGGGGGAGGGTTGAGATCTCAAAAAACATGTTTAACCCCGCCGCATTTTTGAGCCAGTCCCAAGTCAGGAGCCTCTGGCCTTTGTTAGTCTTGTATCATTTTTAATTTTAGTTTCTTGTGTATAATTTGGAGTTAATTATGACGTCCATTATCACTGAACTAGTATACATATTTGTTTAGGGGCCAGCTGAAGGACGCCTCCGGGAACGGGAGTTTCTCGCTGCATTGAAGACCCATTGGTGGCCTTCGGCTGTTGTCTGCTCTATGGTCGGATTGTTGTCTCTTTGACACATTCCCATTTCCATTCTCAATTTTATTTGTACTTTCGGATATATAGCAAATTGAAATTGTTCCTTTTCAGAAATTCTTAAGTATAGTAATTCAATTCTTGGAAACACTATTAAATTTTCTTTTACACTAATCAGCTAATGACTGGACCGATTGACAGGACTATGACAGGACAATGACAGGACCAAGATGAAAATGTTAATAACTTTTTTATTTATCGTAGGATTTATTTCAAATTTGAAATATAAAAAGATTTCATCATTTAATACATTTTTTTAAGAAAACATATATATATAAAATTAAAAGCTTCCGAAAACGTGACCTAACCAACGTTAACATTGACAGGACTAACATCGACAATGACAGGACCCACATCGACAATGACATGACAAAATAAAAATGCTAATAACTTTATTATTTCTCAAAGGATTTATGTCAAATTTGAAATGTAATAAGATTTAATACATAAATATAAGAAAAAATACAGAAAAAATATATAAAGATTGCGAAAACGTGACCTGACCAACGTTGACATTGACCTGACCAACAACGGCAATGACCGGACCAACAGAAAATGCTTATAACTTTTTAATTTTTTCAAAGGATTTATCTCAAATTTGAAATATAATAAGATTTCATCATTTAATACATGAATATAAGATAAAATATAGAAACAAAATATTAAAAGCTTGCGAAAATGTGACCTGACCAACGTTGACAATGACCTGACCAACTTCGGCAATGACCTGACCGATGAAATGTCCTTATGCCTTTGTTATTTTACTTACCAAATTTTTAAATTGTTAAATTTTGATCCATAATTAATAAGATATTACTAAGGAATCAGGAAAAATATATTTATGGGGGTAAAAAACTTGACCTGACCAACGTACATTGACTGTGTCCTGACCGTTATCATGACCAGGAAAATTGACTATATACCAATTTATATGTGTAATAGGATTTGCTTCAAATTTATAGAAACATTAAAATTGAATCATTCATTTTATCAAATAAAAAAGCTATAAAAAAATACTCAGCCTGACTAATCTAATTATCAGCTTATTGTAATTAGAATACGGGCTTCATCAATCCAATTATAATCAAAGAACATCACAAGCACAAGGCTCGGGCATAACTCAAGTAGTCTGCGAAAATGTTTATTTATATTTTATGAAAATATTTAAAACTACCAAGATATCCTGCACAAGGCTCGGGCATACCTTAAGTAGTCCGCGGAAATAATTATTTATTTTTTATGAAAATATCTAAAACTACCAAGATATCCTGCACAAGGCTCGGGCATACCTTAAGTAGTCCGCGGCAACAATTTTGTTTTATGAAAATTTTTAAAACTACCAAGATATCCTGCACAAGGCTGGGGCATACCTCGAGTAGTCCGCGGAAATAATTATTTATTTTTTATGAAAATATTTAAAACTACCAAGATATAATTGTGATCAAACGTGTAAAATCATGGTAATATACAACATAATTTACAACACATATAAATACAAAAAAAATGTACTACTAAATACAATAAAAAATTCAAATAACGCGGTACTCGTCACAGTACCAATCTTCTAATACTCCTGAACATGTCTGATGAACCCACTTTGCACAATTGTTTCTTCCACGTTTTGCCTCACATCCTATCATGTTCACAAAACCATCTAGTTTTCCACATTGACAGTTACATTCAGTCCTTCTTGCATATATTCTCACAAAATCACCAATTATCCTTCTAATCAGTAGCTGATTACATTGAATGTTAACAAGCCAGTAATCTAATCACAATAAGCTGATAATTAGATTAGTTTGGACAAGGTATGCATTGGTCAGGTCACGTTTTTTACCCCTAAACTGTTTTTTCCCCATTTATTTTTTTATTTGATAAAAACTTAACTATTCAATCTTAATGTTTTTATAAATTTGAAGCAAATCCTATAACATACAAATAAGTATAAAGTAATTTCCCCCGATTAGTACAACGATCAGGACACAGTCGACGTTGGTCAGGTCATTTTTTTACCCCCAAAAATATATTTTTCCCAATTTTTTTTAATTTTATCTTATTAAATATGGATCAACATTTTTAAACAATTTTAAAATTTTGTAAGTAAAATAACAAAGACGTTATCATCGGTCTGGTCATTGTCGATGTTGGTCAGGTCACGTTTTCGCAAGCTTTTAAAAAAAAATCGTTTTTTTTT